GTCGCGCGCCCCAGGGGCCCGGGCTGTTCCTGTCTCCCTTGGCTTCTTTCCCTCACTGACCCCTCATCTACTGTCCGTCGAGGTTCGCAGCCTCTGCTGTCGGGATGTGATCCTGACGCCCCCGGGATTTCCGAGGAAGATGCGAAACTAGTCTTGCCGACTCAGCGATTCGCTCTCAGTTCAAATCCAGTTGTCTTTCTAGAATTGCGCCATACATAGTTGCATCAAAGCCATTTGTAAATGCGTATGGTGGCCATTGTTTTTTTTTTTTTTTTTTAAAGAAGTAGTATATTAATTAGCTCGCCAACTTCTTCAGTTTTTTTTTTTTTTGTAGGATAAGGTTTGTGTTTGTATTTAGCGATCCTAGTTTGGTTAGGTTAACGGCAAGGAAGACAGTGCTTAACAGTTATTGTCTTGCAAGATAATTAGTAGTAATTTAAAAATACACGCAATAGATCTGACTGGTGGGAGGAGCAAAGATTTAGAAAGGTTCACTTGATGAAAGTGACGTACTGGGCAGTGCTAACATTCTTAGATACTATAGTCTTAAACTTTAGAAGAAACTGGCCAGCTCTTTACAAACTAAGGGAATAACCCCTCTCTCTTAAAGTTTGATCCCGGCTTTCCATGCTTATTTATTATTACACATATTCTGACACTAGGTGGACTTAAGTCAGTTTTACCTGGATTGCACATATAGGACTGTGTGTTATGGGGCGATATACAGTCTTGAAGTAAGAAAATAACCCAGCTAGATGTTGAATTAACACAAGTCATGAGAGCATGTGGAGGCTGAATAGTAAATTAAAGCTGTTTACTTTAATCTCCCTTCAACTTTTATTTCTAAAACTCCAAATCTACAGGAGAACTGAAAAATTATACAATGAGATTCTACAATGAACACCCGGTAGGGAGGAGGTCACCAAGTGTTCATCTTTGTCCACACTTAAGCTTGCTTCTTGTCAACTCCTCTTTTTCTTTCTCTCCTCACCACCTCTCTTTCTCTCTCCCTACCTCCCCATGCACACGCAGATGTATGTGCTTTTCTTTTCCTTTACTGTTGACTTAATTTTTAAAAACGAAAATGTCTTAATTTCTTGAGGTTTTTGAAAATATTTTTTAGCTTGAGAAAATGTGCAATTGATCAGGCGGGTACTCCCAGATTACACATATTTGCGTTAAAAATATGTTATATATTATACATTTTATGTATATTTTACAACATATGTGTTTATATTATATGTTTATATTATAAATACATATATTTATCTTTTATTGTTTTTATTGGGAAAAATTGTCCTAAATTCTAATAATGTGTTCCAGTGAAAAATAATCCTAATCAAGTTTATCTGTGGCTCCAAAAGAGAATGTTCAACTGTATTTTATTGAGTACAAGCCTGCCTTGGAGGTTTTAGTTAAATTTAAGTTTAGTTTGTATTCATTTTGTAACCCCAGGGAGAAACCAGAGCATCAGGGAGCAGCCCTAGGATGGAAAGGCTGCAGGTAACAGTTCTCTTTGCCATTTTAAGTTTGGACAAAGAATCCTGGGGAATTGGTTCCAGAAAAAGAGCTAAGACTCACTCAAGCATTGATATCAAAGATTTGGACAATTTCCAAATCTCTCCTTTGCTTCCCTAGACTAAATTTAGAGAACTGAGAGAGAGAAAAGAGATCCACTTAGAGACTATGAGTATTTTTTCCAAAAGTATATTGAGTTCATTTTTTTTTCTTTATTTGGCACCTTCTGGGGACTGATCTATAAATTTTTTAAAAGTCACAGGACGTTTCTTTTTTTTGACAACTCCTTGTTTTAGTGCTTATATCATGGAGAACCACAAGTATCCCTTCTGGTAAGCCTTTAGGTCCATTTCTTAGCCTTTGATTACTTCCTCATATATTTTTCTTCATTTCCAAAATTCCCAGAAAATTCACTTGCTTTTTAATCTTTTTTTTTTTTTTTTTTTGGTTATGAAGATAGGAGTGGACCTCCTTGGTAGACCTCCCTGAAAATAAAACAAAGATCTTCTCCAGTGCCGCTCTGCTATAAACCTTAGTGTTCCTCACTTTTTTTTCAGTACAGAACAATTTATACAATTTATACAATATTGTGTGTGTACATTATTTTTGATCTTAACTGCTACCAGCATTCCATGGTGTATGCTACTTTCACACTTTTCTTGTCTCACAGTACTTGTATTGGCTCCAGCTTCTAGCTATCACCAGCAAAGCTGCCCTGAACATCGTTGTCAATCAATGAGACTGTCTCTGGAATGCTTATCTAAAGGCAAGATTGCTGGGTCATAGGTATAAGCGTATGTGATTTGGACAAGTGCTGCTAGATTTTTCTCCACAGTAGCTGGACCTGTCTGTACTCCATCAAGAGGCAGAGGATTCTTAATGTCCCATGTCTGCTAATTCTTTTCAGTATTCAACATTCCAATTTCTGCTGCACAACAAACACACAACATAAATGCACCTGGTAAAAAGTGGTAATTCCTTGTTTTAAATTGCATTTTTTAATGATTTGAATATGTACATTTCTTTTGGTTTCCCTTTATGTGAATTTTTTTTTCTTGTGTTTTATCTGCTTTTCTAACTTGTCCTGACTTTTGGGAGATTGTTATTAATTTAAAAGAGTTCTCTGTCTATTCCAATTATTAGCCCTTTATCATTTTTGGATATTGAAAATATCTTTTCCACACTGTAACCTCTTTAGTGAACATAAATCTTAATTTTTATATAGTCAAATCCATTTTTTTATATGGTTTATGTTTCGGGAATTTAAGAATTTCTTTTCTATCCCTAGACCACAAAAGAATGCTCACCATTTTCTTCTATTAGCTTTATAGTTTTACCTTTCGCATTGTCTTTAAGGCATCTGGAGTCAATTTTATATGGTGTGTAATAGTTCTTATAACATTTTTATTTTTTCAATACATATTAATAGGGTGCCTACTAAGGGTGAGGCATTGTTCAAAGTACTTTTATACATCAGTAAACAGATACTCCTTCCCAGGTGGAACTTATGTTGTCCTGCATGGTTGGTCCCTACTGGGTCACCACCACCTGTTTTGCTGTAGTGCTCAGGATGAATGCCACAGTTTACACATAGTAATCTTAAGGAATAGACTTTACTGGTGAAAGGGAAGACTTAGAGAAGAAAACAATAGTTCTTCACTTTTTTCATTATCTCAAACAAAAGTCTGCTGGCGCCTAGACAGTCTGCTAGATGTGCATGCTGTATATCTTATATCTGTTCTATAGGAGAACCCCACTCTCTTATTGGTCTTTGTTCTTATGGATGTGTGTGTGAGAGCAACCTTAAATGTAGGAAAAATCAGACCGCATTCTAGATTTGGATGCCAGCTATTTATATTCTAAATTGTCAGAAAACCAGCTCTCTAGCAGTTGGAGATGTTGGAGTCTGAGGAGAGTTACAGCCCTTTGCAAAGTGAGAAAGGAGACTATTTCTTAATGCTACTGTAATAAATTACTACCATAATGTGCAAATTGATAATTCTGTTACTTTATTTTGCTGATTTAGAATATTGCACTGGCACTTAAAAGATATGTAATTTGTAACACAAATAGCTAGGATTAACTTTAATTTTACATCATTCTCAGTACAGTGCTAATAAGGTACATTCTTTATTCTGCTAATAAAGTATAGCTCTTAACTGAACAAATCATTTCCATGTTGATTTTTCAGCTACAGGTTTGACTGTTATTAAGACAGTTGCTGTAATGTAGTTGACATATCTTTCATTTGATTTTGCAGTAACAAGTTAATTTATTGGCTGAGATTGGCCTGAAAAACAACAACTCCAATGGAATGATGAAGTCATGTTAGACTAATAAACACTATCTTAATAAAAGCTAGTTTATAAATACCATCTGTGGATATTCTTTTATATGTGAAGATTGCTTTCTCATCTTCTACTTACTCTCCACTTTTATTTGAATTGGGTGTATACTTCTTGTGTGGCATTTTTGTTTGTACTCATAATTTCAAAATGTCTTAAAATTTAACTCTTGCAGGGCAGAGTTTTTGAAATACTTCAACCATGACTAAAAGAGAAGCAGAGGAGCTGATAGAAATTGAGATTGATGGAACAGAGAAACCAGAGTGCACAGAAGAAAGGTTGGTGTTTTCTGAATTTACCACCTTTTATATTATCAACACACCTAATTAAAATTAAGAATCAAGCCAGAATTCTTTTGGGGACTTATTATTTTTTTTCAACTGACCTCAGCATGTATTGCCTTTTTTCTTCTGACTTAATGAGTTTGTAGCTGGGAGGGAAAGATATTTTTAAACTAAAGATAGTAATAAGAATAACTGATAATGACCAAGCACTTGATTGTGATGATTTTTATCTCTTATGACAATGACACTGTTTTGATTTTTTTCTTTTGTTAGTGCTGGTTACTTTTATTTCAGAAAGTTTAATTCACAGCCTGAACTAGTTTAGCAAATATATATAACTGCTATAAACTAGTAACTGTCAGGTGTATTTGAATATATTAGACAATAACCTGCACTTGGAGGCCACATTGTATTTGAGGAGACATACAGGTACATGAGTAGTTATATGCACAGTGCTAAGCATATCGAGCAGTGAAAAGTGTTAGTTCTTGGAACAGTAATGGACTATTACTGACTCTATTAAGGAAGGAGGGCAATGGTAATAAATTCAGAATCCAAGGGGGAGAGTATCAGCAAAAACAGAGATTTGGGAGTCAAGAAGAAGGCTAGGCTTGATAGTCCTACTTTACTATGTAAAGCAGGAGATGAGATAATATGCTAAAAGTAAAATAGTAAAGACTAAATAGGACTAAATAGTAGAGAAGGTTTAGAATAACTGATGAGAATGAACAAGATTACTAAGATTAAATAGGATGCTGAGAGTTAAGAATGCAGCTGAGATTTAAGACTTTAAAAAAAAATTTATTGTAACAATTCTTACCATGAGATCTATCTTCAACAAATTTTTAAATGTACAATAAATATGGTGTCGTTAACTATAAGCACAGTATTGTACAACAGATCCCTAGAACTTATTCATCTGGCATAATTGATGGCAGTTGATTAAGCATATCCCCATTTTTGTTTTGTTTTGTTTGGCCAGCAGTCTGTAGTTACTCATGCCATCTCCTCTTCTGTTCAGAGGAGAGGTCTGTCTGTAGCTCAAAAAACAAACCTTATCTTGTCCTCTACCACCATGCCCTGGCATAGGAATATTTTCTGATGAAAAACATCTAAAATGTCTTGACATGACCGCCTGAGACACCTTAAATTTTTAATAGAGCATTTCAACTTATTTGATTATGTATGTGATTTTTCATGCCTCTTGTATGTATGTATATATGTGTGTATATTCATTCATTCATTCATTCATTCACGTAACAAATTATCCCCAAACTTAGTTCTGGTTCAGGGTTTTTCATGAGCTTGAATTTAAGCTCTTAGTCTGGCCTACAGTCATCTGAAGAGTTGACTGGGACTAGCATATCTGTTTCTAAGATCACTCATGAGACTGGTAGCAGCACCACTCATTTCCTCACCACATGGGCTTCTCTGCAGGGCTGCTCACGACATGGCATCTGGCTTCCCCTAAAGTAAGTGGCCTGAGAGAGAGTGCTTACCAAGATGGAAGCTGCAGTATCTTTTTAAATAACCTAATATAAGAAATGATATATCACTTCTGCCTTAGTCTTTTGTTCACACAGTCTAACCTTAGTAGAATGTGAGAAGGAACTATAAACGAGTGTGAATATTAGGAGGTGAGGATCATTTGAGCCACCGTGGAGCCCAACGTGTATATATTTATTTTTACACACACACACTCTCTCTCTCTCTCTATCTCTCTCTCTCCCCCCAACCCCTCCCTCCCTCTGTTTCTCTCTCTCACTCTCTCTCCCTCCCACCCCCCAACCCCCCTTTCTCTCTCTCTTTCCACAAAGCCTAAACTTTTTACTGTTTGGCCCCTTACAAAAAAACTTTGCTGATGTTTCTTGTTTCCTGTAGAGGTTGGTAGTTGCTATGTTGGCCTGGGGAGTAGCTGTGTAAGGGAGCAGTTGTTGTTACCCAGCTATAGCAGAATGTTGCTATGTAGGAATTTAGGTCCAGTGATGTGAGAGCATACAGATATTTTCAAGAGAAATTGATAATTCAGATTTTTATATTAAGTCTCCCAAGGTTTAAATGGTGGCAACAAAATGTTTTAAAATATTTTAAATATTGAGTTCATGTAAAATAAGTCTTTAAAAATTTGTCTTAAAGTGGCATCTGACTCTTAAAGAATCATTGTTACAAAAAAAGGAAAATATAGCCCACTGTCATAAAAATACTTAACCAAAAGGCCCAACTATTCTACCTTAACTAATAATAATAGTTAACTATTATTTAAAAATGATGTGTTTTTAAGCTTGAGCAGTCTTTTTTATAAGTTTTAAAAGTCTTAGGAGGAATTTAGGCTATATGCATTCATCGAATGTCATATATATTGCATTATACTTAGAATTTATGTGAAAATGGAACTTGACAAATTTTTAAATACATACTGGTTTTGACAACTGCAAATGAGATTTAAATTACATTTAAATTAAACATGTTGTGAAACCTAATTGAATTCCAGATTTACCAGTTTAGGAAATATTACTTGGTGTCTGTTTTCTGTTTTGCCTCAAATAAGGATTTACAAAAGATAGTAGAATTACTTACCAAAGATTTTTCCTTTAAGGAACTTACATTTCCATAGAATTAGAAGTATGAAATAGCAATGCAAAAGAGCCGTAAGAAAGTTTTAATTCTTTTTAAATGTGGTCCTATGCTGATTATAACCAGTAGTTTTCAGATTAAATTAAGTGGAAAGTTTTTATATGTTACATTTTTATACCTTATAATTTATATTTACTTAATTATATTTATGTTTGGAAGGGCAATTAACTAGTAATGATGGCTTACAGATTTTGAGAAGACTTTTAATCTTTCTTTCTGGGCCTAAAATTCTTCAAAATAACAGAAAATAAAACAGATGCAAACATTTCCCCTTAAATATTGTATACGGAATGTTCCTATTATATATACACATACATACAAAGATATATATATATAATGAGATATATTCCCAAGGGTGCTTCAAGTTAACATTTCTTTGTGCAGCTCAATATTCAGTTTGGCAACACTAGTTGGTGATGAGTCTATCACTATGAATGGTGTCTGTGCAGAAACGAGTTTCAAAGACCAGAAATGTGTTTTGCTATTGAATTTTGTTTTGAGTATATTATTACTTTAATACCTAGAATAAAAACGTAATTGTTAACCATTATATCCTTTAACATTTAGCATTGTAGAACAAACCTACACACCAGCCGAATGTGTAAGCCAGGCCATAGACATCAATGAGCCAATAGGCAATTTAAAGAAACTGCTAGAACCAAGACTACAGTGTTCTTTGGATGCTCATGAAATTTGCCTACAAGATATCCAGGTAATTTTATTTTTTTGAGATTTATTTCAACATTTAAGTCTATATTAGAAATATTTTTTGTTGACCTTAATCTCTATACCTGTAGCCTTTATCTATCTCACTAGATTTGACCTGTTATAAACTTTAAGCATTTAGAAATGAAAGCAATTCTTTCAGCAAAATTGTCTCTATTTAAAGTTATATTTAAAAGATTGAGTACTGAGTCAAATATTTCATTTTTTTATTTTCGCAAATATAAAATGAGAAATTTAAATTTGAATCAGAGCTTAAACATAAAGTAGTGGGAAGCACATTGACCTTGGAAGCTGAAGAGGCATGTCCTCCTTATCCTATATGTAACTAGCTTTTAACTTCTTTGGGCATTAGTTTCCTCATCTTTAAACTGAGATAATTTTACCAAATGATTTTTACATCACCTTCCATCTTTATTTGCTCTATTAGTAAATTTTAGATAAGAATTTATATGCCAATGTTTATATTTATTGGAGTTTATTACATTAGGATTTTACCTGTGATAGTAACAATATACTATGTTTGCGACATATTTAGTCTTTTTTTTTTTTTGGTATAAGAAATAGTAGCCTAGATCGGGTTGCTCAAATAGTTTCTCCAGACCTTCCTTGATCATATACTACAGTTTATGTGATTTTTTTAAATACTAACTTATATATATTGCTAATTTTTTTGATTGTTCAGTTTGTTTTATTCTTTACTCCTTTTCTTCCTGTATATTGTAGAACTTTTTGCTTTATTTTTAAAAATTAAAATCATGTCAACCATTTTTAAATAAGATTTTAATGTACAATAAGTTGAAATGTTTTAATGAAATTTGTGCATTTTAGTTGCCATTTAACCATACTTTTATGTTTTCCTTTTAATAAGTCTAATAAATGTTGGGGGAGGGCGGAAATTGCTCTCCTAAAACTAGAGAATGTAGGTGGGCCTAATAATATAATTTTAGGATTTAAGGTTTTCTTTTATTAACAGCGAAAGAATAAATTAGCATATTTTTGGAAGGTAATTTAACATTTAGTGTCTATTAATTTTGGATGTGAAATACCTAGCAATTTCACCTCAGTGAATTGTTCTTACAGAAATGCTCAACTGTCTGAGCAAAGCTGTATATCTGAGATGTTCGTTGCATGGTTGTGCAGAAACTGAAAATAAATGTTCCAAAAACAGAAACTTGGATAAATAAATTCTATAGATTGGAATTCAAAGCAGCCATTAAAAATTGGTGGACTAGAGCTATCTGGGCCGTTAATGTTGAATGAAAAACTGAACACAGAACACTTCTAAATTATCTTATTTAATCTTCATATCAGTCTTTGAAGTCAGCATATTCTTGATCACATTCTGCAGATGTAAAAATTGAGATTTAAAAAGGCTAAATAGTTTTCCCATTTGTAGCTACCAAGGGATTCAGTGGACCCAGGCCTATATGTCTCCAAAACTTGCTTCCCTTGCTTGAGGCAGAATTTTAAGTTTGTGTTGGATAACTCAGTGTCACTAGGCTTTACCCATTTTTCTCATATGTAAAATAAGAGGGAATCTGGACTTGATCTCTTACTTGTCTTTCAGCCCTAACATTTGTTGCTTCTTTTATAATACCTGGCCTAACCAAAATGAAAGTATAACCTGCAAAGTACCCAACCTACCATAGATTTTCCATAAATATTAGTTGAATAAATGGAAATATGCATAATTCATAGCATCATAGAATTCAGAGCTAACTTTAGATCTAAGTCATTGTGCATTCCTCCCTGTCCCCCCTTCCTCTCCTCAAAAAGGATATGGATATCAACTTCTGTTCTCCGTATCAGTTTATGCAAACATACATTCAGAGTCAAAATGCTTGCTGCTTGTGGTAATGCTTTTGTATTTTCAGATTAATACTGACTTGAAAGCTGATGGAACAGTTGAGTTGCACTTCTTTGAGGAGTATGACCCAGGATCAGATACCATGCTTGAGTTTTGTCCTTGTGCCAGATGGATCTTACTTAACTAGCTAGTGTATTTGGTACCTGAGAGCTCACTTGCAGAGTTATACATGCTATAGCTTCTAGTGGATAATACCAGAGTTTGCTGGAGAGGGAAGAAATCTTAATATGAGGAGAATTTTTAACAAAGTGTCAGGGAGCAAAATTGCCACATTTGACCTGTCTGCTGCAGGGTTAAACAGCTTGTCTTGCCCCTAATTAAGTTAGATGCATAGTCACTTAAGGTTTTAGGCTTTATATGTATGACATTTTTAATATAAGAAAATGTGTTTGTACTGCAACTACAGTATTTACTGAATTCTCGGCAATGAGAGTAGGGGAGTTTTGTACCTCCAGCTGTATATTATGCAGACACACAGAGATATACATTATTCAAGATAATTACAATGAAAAACTATTTTAAAACTGGTGACAGAAAATGTCTAAAAGTCCATTTCTTTTTGTCATCAATTTGTCATTGTGTGAAATGCATTCACTGTAAGGAGACATGAAAGAAAAATTGATATCGAAAGGATATAGAATTATGATTAAAGATGTTCATAGCTAGGTCACATAGTAAAGTCATAAGTCCTTTAACTTTATTAACATTGTGATTAGAAATGTAGAGTTAACCCTGATCTTGAGTGTATATCGTTGGTTACAAGTGAGATATGGCAGACATTATATTAATAAACATAAATTATCCCACTAATTAAATACTCTTGCTTTTTCTTGACAGATAAATTACATTATTTTCTACTTTAAATACTTTTACAGAATAAAAGTATTCTGTAAAAGTATTCGTTGCTTTTTTGCCATTATTTAAAATTGTAAACTATACACCAGAGCTAGAGAAAACCGCCATTTAAAATAAATGTTTATGTTGTCCTTAATTCTTACCACAGTGGTTAAAATATTTTCGATTTGGCAAAGAATTAAATGATTTGACAAATAATTAAATGTGTTCTTATAATTTAATTAGTATGCCTCAGTAATTAAGTCCTGTTTGGTACATCCATTTTTATTAAACCAGATGATTGTGTTAAAATAATCTTAATCATTTTACCCATGTTTAGCTGGATCCAGAACGAAGTTTGTTTGACCAAGGAGTAAAGACAGATGGAACTGTACAACTTAGTGTACAGGTAATTTCTTACCAAGGTACGTTAATTTTAGTGTAAGCTTAGCTAGTTTTTTAAAATATAAGAACTCAGTTTTATAAGTTTTGGGAGTTTTAGATGGTTGTTTAAATTACTTAATGTCATGTTATAGACATATTCATGCTTTTGATTTAACTTTTATCTGTCAAGGTGAAGCAGATGATATAAAACATTCTACCTAGTTTCATCAGGAGGGGATATATTATAGACTAGTAAGTAACATGATCAGAGAGAGGGCTGGAAGAACAGGTTCGGGTTAACTCTAAGAATGCCTGAGCCGCACAGCAGAACTGGACTGCCAAGAAAGCTGCTGCCCTGTTGTGATCTTGGGACCATGCTGCCTTTTTTAGTGATCCAGAGTAACCAAAAAAAATGGATGCCACGTGCCTACTTATCCCCTCTTAGCTTGTTTCTAAATAGAAGGCTTATGCCAGTGATTCTAGAGCTTACGTTACAGTGGGGACCCTTGCTGCAAGGAAATCTAGTCTCTGTGGTTTAGCACAAAAAGGAATTTGCAAAGAATGTTGATTGACCACACTTTGTTGATCAGCCATATCCATGTGATATTTTACAAATCTTGTGTAGGTACCCAAGTTAGAAAGAAAATTAGGAAACCATTTTTGGTGGCTTGAATTTTAGTTTTTTTTAATGTGGCTTATTGGGATTCCTAACCAGAGATTTAGATTAATTTTGATCTCTGAATATATAGTGCTTACAATCATGTTTCACAAACCAAAGACTATGAAAATGGTGGTTATCTACTATTGATCCTTAATTTCCCCAGAATTGTCCAGTGGTGGAAATATGAAAAAAAGTCTTTGTTTTTATCTTGAAAAGCCTAGTGACCTGTCAGTGCAAGTGTATTTAAAAAACGTTTACTTGATGAAATTTGAGTGGAGGATTAGGGGATAAATCTTAGGAAAAACATTTTTCAAAAATTCTAATTGTTTTTCTCATGCATATTTGAATAAAGTAACTTCTGTTTACACCACTTAGTGAATGACAGTATATTTTTCTGGAATAATTGGTTTTCACAAGAGATTGAAATTGTTTTGCTTTCTTTCAAATGCACTTTAAATTTTGTATAGATTGTAACAAAATCGGTGAGCAAACAGTATCTGTTAAGCAGAATGATAGTTTCTTAAAGCTGTCATTTTAACAGAAATATCTGATATTATATCATAAAGCTCTAGTTTATTCTGTTTCGAATATCTTAAGGATTTGGGTTTTTCTTCAACTGAAAGTGAATATCAGAATTTAATGATATAAATGCAGTTTAACACACTCGGTGTCCATTTATAAAACATGTGCTTTGTTCTTTAAAAAGAAAAGTAGTCAGTAAATAATTTTAATTTTTCAGAATTCTGAGGATGAGTAGCTATTCATTTATTCTCTCCCTAGACTAGTTTTTATTTTCTGTTCAACACTGGTACTTTTTTCTTAATGTTTGTAGTAGGGCTGTATATGTGTGGTGGTAGTGATGGTGTTTTTAAATTATTTTAGACTTCTAGAAAAGTTGCAAGAATAGTAAAACACTTCCTGGATATCTTTTACCCAGATTCCCCACGTGTTAACTTCATTATTAGATATGGTTTATTCTCTCCCTTGCCTCCACATTATATTTTTCGACCTCTTTACAAATAAATTGCAGACATGATATCCTTCTGTGCCTAAATACATCAGTGTGTGTTTTTTCTAAAAACAAGGAATTCTTTTACATGACCACAGTACGATTATCAAAATCAGAAAATATTAATTGACACAACACTGTTATCTACCAAAGTTCTATTGTTTTTATCATTAAATAGGAATCTGTTAAGTTCTCTAGACATAATGCTAGAAATATTTAAAATGAAGTTTTGCTTTACCATTTGAGAACATATAAACTAAATTTTGTTAGTGACTTTCATGTTTTCATTTAGATTTTTTTTTTTTAATTTCTGTTAAGGAATTGAACCAAAGCTCAACATCCTTGAAATTGTTAAACCTGCGGAAACAGTTGAAGTAGTTATTGATCCAGATGCCCACCATGCTGAAGCAGAAGCACATCTCGTTGAGGAAGCTCAAGTGATTACCCTTGATGGCACAAAACACATTACAACCATTTCCGATGAAACCTCGGAACAAGTGACAAGGTGGGCTGCTGCACTGGAAGGTTATAGGAAAGAGCAAGAACGCCTTGGGATACCCTATGGTAAGAAAATACATAATTACATGTTAGGTAGGATGAGAAGAATTAAGCTTGACGTAGAAGTTACTAGAGTGAGTTATAATCTGTTTTAAATGTAGAATTTTTAGGAAGAATTTGATTTTCTGTTTTGTTTTTTTTTTTGTATTAACACAAGATGGACAAAAACTGTCCTAGGTGCTGGGAATAAAAAGCAGTACAGTCATGCAGTGCTTAACGATGGGAATACGTTCTGAGAAATGCATTGTTCGGCAGTTTTGTCATTGTGCAAGCATCATAGAGTACACTTACATAAACCTAAACGATATAGCCTACTATGCACCTAGGCTGTACGGTATTGCCTATTGCTCTTAGGCTGTAAATCTGTATAGCATGTTACTCTGCCAAATACTGTAGGCAGTAGTAACAGTGGTATTTGTGTACCTAAACACATCTAAACGTGAAAAAGGTACAATAAAAATATGGTATAAAAGATAAAACATGGTTCACTTGTATGGGGTATTTATCATGGATGGAGCTGACAGGGCTGGGAGTTGCTCTGGGTGAGTTGGTGAGTGAGTACGAGTGAATGTGAAGGGCCAGGACACTACCGTACACTACTATAGACTTTACACACACTGTACTCTGAGACTGCACTATATTTACATAAAGATATTTTTATTTCTTCAATAATAAATTAACTTTCACTTACTGTAACTTTTTTACTTTATAAACATTTAATTTTTTTAACTTTTCAACTCTTGTAATAACACTTAGCTTAAAACACATTATACAGCTGTACAGAATTATTTTTTTAGATCTTTATTCTATAAGCTTCTAAAAATTAAAATTTTCTTTTACTTTTTAAACTTTTCCTTGTTAAAAAGGAAAGACAAACACACTCAGCCTAGGCCTACCTAGGGTCAGGATCATCAGTGTCACTATCTTTACCTCTACATCTTGTCCCACTGAAAGATCTTCAGGGGCAATGACGTGCATGGAGCTGTCACCTCTTATGATAACAATGCTTTCTCCTGGAATACCTCCTAAAAGACTCTATCTGAGGCCCCTCTAGAGAGATGGTGTCACTCTTTTTTATAAATGTGTCCATAGTGGGTTGCTTTGTTTTTTTAATCATAGATTTGCTCATAAGCAGATAATGTACAATGAATATTTATCTCCATTAATAAAAAGCTTTCAGTGTTGGGGTCCGTGTTTTCAAACTTTTTAAGGAGCTTGCTGAGTTCTGCAAAAGCTCCTGCTAAGCCCTTCACTGTGAATTTTCCTGGGAGTTCTTTTTCTTCCCCTGCAGTTTCCTTTTCTGTCGCCTCTCCTTCACTTGTTCCAACACCTCCTTGTTAGTCTGTTTCTCAGGAACCACCTCTAAGAGCTCTTCAGTGTCATCCTCATCCACACCCAGGTTAAATAGTTTCCCATCTCAACCACAGCCTCGTTGATTTTTGCAACCTTTGCACTATGATTTTCTGATGGCTACATCGCTAGGCAATAGGAATTTTTCAGCTCTGTTATAACTTTATGGGACCACTGTCTTAAATGCAGTCCATTGTTGTCTGAAACATTGTTATGCAGCACATGATTGTATAAAAAAAAATATTCTGCCCTTAGGGTATTCACACTGTAGTTGAAGACAGAGAAAATAGATGAAAAGAGATAATAGCCATAAAGGTAACATGTTTTCTAAGCTGCCAGTAACTGTTATAAATGAAACATGCTATTAGAATCTCAAAGGGCTCCTACTGGCCTG